CTTCTGGTTTTTTAAAATTATCATTTTCGACTAAAATAAAAATGTACATGTCTTTCAATGTTGATAAATAATCAAACAAATTCTTTTAATCTTTTGTGTCTTTATTAATTTTTACTATTAACCTATCTTTTTTACCACAAGCTTTTAACATATTTTTAATAAAAGAAACTTTCGGTCTTAAACAAAGAGAATTAGGAGATAGTTGTATCTCATCAACCAATTCTGCATTCGCTTTTATAATATAAAAATCTTTACCATCATATGTTTCTACGGTTTCCATTAATGTTTTAATGTCCATATATAAATACTTTATGTTTTGTCTATATTATTAACTATAATGACTGAAATAACTAAATTCGATGACAGAAAATATCTTTTCTTTGAAAAATGTTGTTTTTGTGGAGAAGAATTTGAAGCATTATTATTATTTGATAAAGATGAACCAACTTATGAACCATTGACAGAAAACATTGACGCATCCTTTTATAAACTTAATGATAGAAAATATGAAACAGTTTTAACAACTTTTTGTAAAAAACAGGATATGACAGACTACTATTTCATTCATAATTTAATATGCTGTGATGGACTTTCTCTTTTTGCAACTTCATGTTTCCATGATTATGTCGCAGCTGTTTCATCTAATGTTCTTTTAGAAGAGATCACAAAATTTGTCGAGATCACAAAGATCACAAGATCACAAAAAGATCACAAGATCACAAAATTTGTCGCAAGGTTTCAACTATCCTGAGCCATCCTCTTAGAGCCTACTTCCCTGAGACCAAGATCACGAGGTATAATTTGAGAAATAAATCCCCTGTCATGCCCGCTATTCGCACAAACCGTTTTAAGAATACATTTTTTAATAGAATTGTTTTTAAGTATAATGTAGCTTTGTGAAAGTATACTTCCTGTATTAGATGTAACATAAGATATGTAATTTTATCTTTTGAACAATAAAGACACACAGACAGACATGAAACTAATCAACAAAACAGTAAAATAAGGAAAAGAATAAAACAACAAATAAAAGAACAATTCAAAGTTTAACAATGTCCATATGCGTAACTAGTTATTCCATCCTCTAGAATATATCTTTTATCATCAAAGCAGCTCAATGACACTTTGTTCAGCTGATAACTTCCAAGTTGATGTTTGTTACTTCGTATGGTTTTCACCTTGTGATACATTTGTTTGTTGTCAAATAAAACCTCTTTGTAATTTTCATATTTAAGATTTTTTCTTATGACATTCTTTTTAATACCTTTCGCCGTACGACTACCTTTGTTATCATCTTTGATATAACTGTATATTTTTTATCGTAAACCAACGAATTAAACTATTGGTGTTCCACACGTTTCATCTTTGAATTCACCAATAACTTTTTTGTTCGATTCGTCATAATATTTTGAATGTTTTGGATAATCACTGTTGTCAAACATCTCTTTGTCATTCCAAAAGTCTTTGTAAACATCTTCCTCTTGAATTTCGTATGTTAACGAGTCAGTGTCTGTGAATAATAACTTCGCTTTATCTCCATACTTCTTCTTGATATAATTGTAATGAAAATCATACATCAAAGTCTTTGAAAAATAAAGAATACACATCCCAACGTAAGCTGGCCGATTCAATGGAAGTGTTTCTTTTATCTTGTGTACAGACTAGATTTTCATTGAATATTTTACTTGATATAAAGGTTGGTTTTGATGCTAATTTCAACAGTTTTTTCTCATCAGTGACAAGTCTTATATCCACACGCTTTCTCAAGTTTTCCATCGTCTTCCCAAATACAGAATTATTCATCAATTTGAAAAAGTCTTTCTCAAAAGCATTCTTAGCTTGAGTTCTCTTTTGTGTATTGAAGTCGATATATTGTTTTAACCACGGTGACTGATTAAATTCAAGTGCTCTATGAACCTTTTTCAATTTCATTCCAAGTTTGAAGTACAATAGAAGATTTCGGTAATGTATTTCTCTTTGTTTGATAATGTTGGGATCAATTTTGACACAAGACCTGTTGATATATTGAATTTTTGAGCTATTTGTTTACAATACGTTGACAACATGTCTTGTTTGACCTTGATCTTTTCTGGTGCAAGCGGATAATCATTATGCAAATCGTGTAATTTGTCTGGGTATTCAAGATCGACTTCCAAAATTAATCCCTTTTTACTTTCTTCAGTATAAACTCCAAGGTTTGTTTTATCCAATCGTTTTTTGTGAAAGCCACTTGAATCTTCCAGTTGAAAGGTATTGTGACATACTCCAACCGTACAGATTATTAGCATTGAGGTACATTAAATTTTTCGAAGGTTCATTCTCATTGTAATTTTTCATGTATTTGTTATTCGCTTTTCCATATCGATTAGCAAATAACTAGTACCTCCTCTCAAACCTTTTTCAATGAATTGGTACATGTCAACATCAGTCATCAATTCAGATTTAATGTCAGTCATTTTTAGCATAGCATCCCAAGATAATCCAGGACTTGTGAAATAATGGCAAGGATCGAGTTTGTAATATTGAAGACAAGTTTGTCATCAGCTAACAATTATGTCAGACTTTAGGTAGAGATCATGATAATCACCCATCGTTTATAACTTGAATTTTTTCCATATATTTTGAGCATGTTCATATTCATCATCTGAGATATGTTCATTATTGAAGATGCTGTAAAATTCATCTTTGGTTGGCAATTCTGTTTCATCAAATTTATCAAAGCTGTCCATATAATCGTAACGATAAACACCTTTTTGAGTCACAAGATTGAATTTTTTATTCTTAAATTTTTCTGATGTATATTTGAAAGCTTCTTTAGGTAGATTGTTGACTAGTTTATCAAGGCTTGAGCTCATGAATTGAAAACTATCAATAGAAGTAAGATGATTCCCAAGCATGAGAGCCATATACTTTTCCATGTTATTTGAGATTGCATTGATATTCATTTGGCACTCTTCTCCTTTCTTATTTGTGTATTTATTGTTTTCAACAATCTCTCCAATTTCTTGCATGATGAAGTGTGAATCATATCCTCTCAAATTATGAAAGATCACAGGTATTTTGTCAGTCATTTGAAAGTTAAGGTTACAATCCTGATGAGCTGAGCCCCTGAATTTTCCAGTCACATGACAGTGATCTCTTACTCGAACGTCTTTATCGTGATATTTCTGTTCACAAATGTGACATTTATCGACTTTCTGGAATTGTTCTTTATCTTATTTTGTCATTTTCAGAGGTTTGTTAAATTTATATTTAATAATCTTTTGGCAATATTTCACTTATTCAAGCATCTGTTCCATGAATCTGTAAACAGCTTTCTCACCACGATAGATTTTAATAGGTTTTGTATATTTATCATCATAAGTGCAAACAACCTTGTAGGCACAACCACAGTCAGTATGTTTTTGATAAGCTTCGGTGGAAGATTGCCCATCAGCTGGTTGACAACCTTGTACTTTTTCTGTTATTGCTTCAAAACCAGCGTAGATAACAAATGCAACAGGTAGTTTCTTGTGATAATTATTGAATTTCGATATGTTGTTATCTTTAGTTTGCATCTTAATAACTTGAGCTCCATTTATTATGAGACAATTATCTTTAGGGTTAGTTAATACCTTTTCAGAACTGAAACACTGCAAACAATACATACAAAGGTGCTTTCTCTCCTTATACATACCTACATAAGTTAGTTGACCACTCCCCATGGGGGCTTTTCAAGGCCAATTCCCACCCATCCCACCACAGGGGAGGACATCTACTATACAGTAATCTCGTGCTTGAGAAATTAACATCTCCTACCCCTAACCCTGCAGGAGACGGGGCCTACGGTTTATTCGTCCTTATCTGAGAAGACTAGAATATCTATCCATTTTTTGATTATAGAAAGGTAACAAATTCTCCTCACTTATTTTAAGACCATGAGTATTGGTTCGGGCTGGAACCCGCAACCTCCCGCACAACACAATCCAGCGCTCTAACTAATTGAGCTATAGACCGGGAGGCGGGTTATGTTTTGTTTGATTATACATAAATTTGTTAAGATCTTTTATTAACACATAATGTGAGTTTTTATCTTCTGTTATCAATAAAACATTCAAATGATCTTCATTTCTCTCCATACTAACATAGATTGGATATCTTTGTTTATCATTATATCCGAATACATTCACATTAATATTATATTTTTTTTCGATATTTTTGATTTGCTTAATAGTAACCAAAAATTCAATTCCTGAATAATCAGTTGTTCAATGTAATCTTTATCAACTTTTTCAATTCTTTGTGGATCCTTCTCTTGTGGATTCAAGTGTCTAATATGACACCAACGAAAGCATTCATTATCATTATTTTTCATATTTATCAATCCTTTTTTACCATTCCTCAGTTCTGATGGAAGTTAAATGTAAGAAGAACCTTTCATAGGATTATATAGAACAGTATTTAGGTAGTGATTATCAACTGATCGAACAATCCAGCCAGATCCTTCTGATCGAACAATCCAGCCAGATCCTTCTGACAACCATTGTGCCATTTTATTTAATATATGTTACTCTGTCAATCGTAAAGAGTCTACTATTTCTGTATCATTTATTATTGTCTGAGGTGAGCTACTAAAATATGCTGTTGTGTCAATCATTGCTTTTTATCACCCTTATCTTCAACCTTCTCAGAAGTAACCTTTAGTGTCTACAAATTTAACCCCTTTCATTTCATTCAATATCTTTTTTATATATTGCCCAACAGCCAATTTTGTGCTCTGCATTTGAATTAATGGATCTAAATTTCTTAGATATAGTTTTTTCAAGTTTATTTTCGCAGATTTGTTATATAGTTTTTTTCCAGATTTATAGCACAAGTTTTTTGAGTGAGTCAGACACCTCATTTACTATACTACTCTGGTCAAACGGGCCATCATTCTGAATTCTTCATCAGCATTTATTTATAGAAAACAGCTAACTTGGGTAACACAAATAAAAAACGGATAAAAATCTATCACTCACCCCTTAAACCAACTTTATTCACAGTCCAGTCGCCTTCTTTGACACCTTTCACAGCAGCGGGTCTAGCACTGCGCACAATAATGTGCTGAACATCCCTCCATGTGAGATCTTTACTTTTGGAGAAAAATAAAAACTTTTTGTTTTTGGTGTTGTCATTGGCCCCTTTGGGTTTTGAGTCAGAATAACTGGAGTTGAAGGCCAACTACAGCCATGCAAGGTAATAACTTTTGAGTTTTTAATGGCAAAAAGGGTTTTAACTTAACCCAATTCAACATTCTGTAAAAGAATTAGCCCAGAATAAAATGGTCAATTTTCGTCTCAGGGGCACGTTAAACTACAAGTTATCATCAGGCTGATTACTTACTTCGCACTTAGCGTTAGAGCAATGAGTCCAGATGCCATAGCTGCCGCTGCTGAACTACCCCCAAAAGTGCTGTCACATTTGTCTCCAAGACCCGCAGTTACCTGTAACAATTCAGTTTATCACCGTTAAATGACAAGCTTAGGAAGCCAGGATCACAGTTTCATAGTTTTATGCAGGGTTCTCAGTTGAACCCGTAACCCATAACACCTGTCACGGGTGTCACAGGCAAAAGTTAAGGCTGTCAAAGTGCTTCAACCAGTAGATCAATTGGTCTATCAAATGCAAATAAAAAAACGACTTTTTGAGTAAATTACTAGGTAAACTATTGAGTTTTACTTGCTTTCCCAATATACCTTTCTTTGATTTTAGTTGTCGAAGTGAATAGCCTTTCCGCAGACCGCAGAATGACTGAAGAATCGCTTCGCGTCTCCACAACGTTGAAATATGGCCACCATATTGAGTTTGTAAATTTGAACCCAGGCCTCTCGCACAGTTAAATCAGTAAACAAATCACAGTAAATAGTAACAAAGGAAATGAAGAACACAGTGAATCAATGTTGTTGTGGGGAAGAGTTAGATCAATTTTGTTGTTCAGATTCATTTATTAACAAATGTTTGCACTATCTTAAGATAGATATAATAGCAGTTGCTGGGTCAGTGTGACCTTGAGAATTAGTTTTTATAAGTGGGTGCCCCCATTAGGAGTTGACTGGTTACTTAATCATGATTTTTGTATAAAATGAATGCCATTTACTCAGAAAGCAAAGCATTGTTATTTCAGGTTAATATTTCACTTAATATTGCAGTGTAATTTTGTTTGATAAGAGATAATTTCAACTTTCCTGTGTTAAAAGCCACTGAACAGATTACAAATTGTACTTAAAGTTGTTTGGAGAAAATGAGAAAATATGCCCCAAAATGAAGGAAAAAGCATTTCTGAGCATCTTAAATCAAAATTTTCCAAGGGGAGCATGCCCTCAGACCCCCCTTGCAGCTTGGGCCCTATGGGCCCAAGTTACAGCCCCTTCAGGTGTGTATATTAGTGTTACACCTGTAACTGCCACAGCAACGGCTGTATAAAATTCTTTTGAGAACCCTGTTTATGTAAGAATAGATTATAGTTAGTCACCTTAAGTAGCTGCGACCTAGGAAACAATCATTATTTCCCTAATAGAACCAATTTTTATCCCTACGATAACAATGCAAACATGCATATGAGTAAAGAAATTTATCATTATGGTAATTACCCTCGCCCTACCATCCCTACCACCGTCAAACCCATCCCCCCTTCTCTCTCTCTAGGACTCTCTCGCCCCCTCTTTCTCCCCRTCACACTCTCTCTCTCTTTAACTTACAACTGGACTTGTATCTTTTCCAAAGGTACTCCGACTATAGGTAACTGCCATAATCCCTGCGCAGTGTTCACCATAGCTCGGAACTACACCATCACTCTTAACACCTGTTATAGCAATTGTTTAAATACTGTTGGCATAACCATTAAATGGACAACATTCCTTAACAAAGCGTCCTCCATTTCCTGCGGCAAACACATAGATTGAACCTTTGCCATTTCGACCCTAAAAAAGGGAGGGGACCTTCAGTTAACAAGTTAGAAATAATTACTAGCTAGCGCCGGCCAAGTTGTCCGATCAAAACTATTTTCGCTCAATACAACACTTTTTTGGCCGGACAAATATCCATAACGTCAAATCTAAAAGGAACCTCCCCCACCCTTTAACTAAAGAAGTATATAGTTAACACTTGGTCAAACAATACCATGATAACATCTTAACTAGTTTCAGTTATGCTTGTTTAATTCAAAGTGTTCCAATTGTAAGCAAGGAATCATTCAATTTGTTGCAGTGATGTCCTTTGTGGGCCACCGTAAAAACTATCCAGTTCTAGATAATATCGCGTCTCTCAAATACACTTTAATTGAATAGCTACAACATACCATCTCTGCACCTTCCTCTAATGCAATCTGTGTTAAACGGCCTGGGCCGTCAACTTCATAACCGTTGTCTTCTGGTCCCCAGCTGTTTGAGTAAATATCAATGTGGTTTCTTTTAAAGCTTAGCGCTTTGGCCTCCTGAGCATCTGTAGCCATTTCATCATAATACAGCCGGATACCTATAGTGAATAAGCAAATGGGAAATTTGTTGAAAGTAAGTTCTTCTGTCTCGCTTAAGAATACCTCCCACCTTCGGAGGCTGAAAAATCATTTTTCCCTTTAATTGACTAAATTGAGTCTGCGATAGGGATTTACGGTATCCCTGCTTTACACCTTCTGCCCTTCAAGAACGCAAGATAACTTTTCATTAGCGTCCCTTTAGAGTTAAATAACACGAAAGTGCCATCAAGTTAGCAAGGAGACCATAATCATGACGGTTTTAAATTTCATTTAGGGTGTTTACAAATTCATTCATTCCAATATACTTTCATTTCACTGTAAAGCACATTCTTTACTGCTATTGTGCAATCAACCATGACAGTTCTGACAGCTACGTTAACAACTTTAGAATTTCAATGAAGTTTTTGTTTCAGTAACTGCATTTTGCTTCGCGGTTTATGCAACATGGGATGTAGGTTTGCATAAACCTAAAGCGCATTTTTGGACAGTTAATAATGGTAATTGAACTGAGCGGAGTGCAATTTAGGAATCATACCAGTGATTTCAAATGACAAGTATGATTTCCGACCAAAATTGCACGACACGAGGTTCAATTACCCATTTATTACATCCATTTTGAAATCGCCCAAATACAGGACTTGGTCAATTCAAGTATTTTGCTGATGCAGTACTAAGCCGGTTTTTAAATAAAAAACGGAACCTGAAACGCTTTTACATCGTATTTTGTGTGCAAAACAGAAAGACTTTGACGTCATGTGTCAAAAACTCAGTCAAGCGTAAAATAATGCTATTTAGAGCAAAAAAGGTGCAATTTGGGAATAAACTGCACCAATTTGAGCCAATCAGATTAGAGGGACCACCAGTGATTTCAAAATGGAGGTAATAAATGCATTACTATTTCTTCCACCTCTAATGCATCTCACTGTAGACCTGTTCACTCCTAAGGTATCTGCAACCAAAAGGTAGTCTTTGTGCTCATCTTTAAACACCCTAACAAATCTTTTTCGATTCTCGTTTGGAACACAGTTTTTCTGAAAGCCATTTCTGTGAGAACTACTGCTTTCCAGCACACTTAAAGTGCTACTGAGATGAAAATTGATGTTCTTCAAAACAAATTTTTTATGGGGACAATTGAAGTTTAGATCCTAAACGAAAAGAAAAAAATACAATTCAGACTTACCACGACAAGAAAAGTCCGAAAAAAATTTTGATTAAAACTCACTAAATTTCATCTGCCATTGCTCAAACTACAACTACTGCGCCAACGATAATTTTCAGCGTCTTTCCCCATTATGACGTCATATTATGCCTTTCATCGAAGCTCTGTCGAGGTAAAAAGTAAATTCAGTGGCAATCTTGTTCGAAAATCGTCGCTTTTCTTTACTTTTAACCACAGTAATGGTTCTGTTTTTTCCAATGAGGGGTCCATGAATGATTGTTGTAGCGTTGAGGAGAAATATTGGATATATCGCGCTCTGTGCGACTAACTAGAGCCACGTGCAACCGAAGAAGAGGCCGTCGCTTTTGGGGAAAACATCTAAACGTGGCCAGTGAAGAAATGAGGGAGCTAGATCTTCAAAAGCGGCTTACTGGTGACGCAGAAGTTCATAATACAAATTTTAGCACATATGTTCTTAGTTAAGCTTTTGTAGCAGGATGCGCTCCGTATGACGAAGTAGAGCCACGTGCAACCGAGGAAGAGGCCGTCGCTTTTGAGGAAAACATTTAAACGTCGTTAGTTAAGAAATGAGGGAGATAAGAGCTTCAAAAGTGGCTTACTGGTGACGCAGAAGTTCATAATACAAATTTTAGCAGATATATTCTTAGTTAAGCTTTTGTACCAGGATGAAAATATCTCTTGAAAGGCTACATTGATTGTTTTAAGGTGCCTTCGAGCAGTACTCTTCCAGCCAGTCTACCCTTGTTCTTATTTCCCTCGAAGTTCAAATCTTTTCCCTTTGCCATACAATGCCTTTAGGCCGTTATGGAACGCTTTTCCTAGCGAAACTGTGATTTACCATGGTTTCGAAGAAAATCAATAGCCCGTTTATTTCTATGAATTGTGCTTTACTTATTATACATTACTATGGACTCGTGTTTGTGCAGCATTTCATCTTCGGAAAAAATTAGAGTGCTGATAAACTTTTACAAAGGACTACTTTTTGTTATTCTCAGGGAACAAAAGTATTTTGTCCACACTATTACTTTGACACCCTGAAACTGTGAACTCCTGTGATACATGTACTTAAGTAATGCCCTTGCAATTCAAGACAATTAAACAGTAGCAATAGAGAGTTTGCTCACTCCTGAATTTTGTTTTGAACTATACACAATTGTTCTGTGAGAATCAAATCAAAGTGTTTGTGGCTTTCTTAGTTTCACAGTAATAAATAATTAAGCAGTGTGGTCCTACAGTTTGCATGGTTGCATGCCCTGTTGCAAATCTGTAGTTCACCACCTCCTTTAACCTTGGATTGGCCAGGTGGTCTGCCTTCTACAAATTATTTGTATTTGAATGTGCTTCCCAACATTTAGATCAGAGGAAATAAATCTTAACCAAGGTTAGATTAATTTTATTATAAGGTAATTATGTTTCTAAATATTTGGTGAAGCAAGACAATTTTACTATTGAGTGATTCATTTGTTTATTTGTTTGGACACTTGTTTATCCACAACATTGTGGGGTTACCAGTAATGGATGTGAACTGCTTTCTATCTAAGGCTCCCAGACCTATTGCTGACTTAGTTGAACCAAGGGGGACTGATTATAATTTAAGAGGCACTAATACGCTTTCCTTACCTAAAGTTAACAGTACGAAGCATAGTCTTAAGTCATTTCACTATTTTGCTGCTAAGACTTGGAACGCGATACCAGATGCTATACGCGCAAAGGCTGGCACAAGAACGTTTCTTCACGATATCCGTCGCCTAAAATTTTAAGTGTTTAGTTTTTGATCTCCGTTTTACTACACATGTATATGAATATAAAACTTGAGATATCCTTTTTGTAATAATATTTTACTTAATGTACATAATTTCTTGCTGCAGGTTGTAATTTTCATTGTATATTACTATTACTACTACTACTACCACTACCACTACCACTACCACTACCACCACTGCCACCACTGCCACCACTGCTACTACTGCTACTACTGCTACTACTGCTACTGCTGCTACTGCTGCTACTGCTGCAACTGCTGCTACTGCTGCTACTGCTGCTACTGCTGCTGCTACTGCTGCTGCTACTGCTGCTGCTGCTGCTACTGCTGCTGCTGCTACNCTTCTACTTCTACTTCTACTTCTACTTCTACTTCTACTACTACTACTACTACTGCTACTGCTGTTGCTGCTGCTACTGGTGCTGCTGCTGCTGCTGCTGCTACTACTACAGAAAACTTCAGAAGGAATACTGTCAAGGTCACCATTATAAACAAATCACAGTCTTCTTTTGCTTCTCGTTTCACAAAGGAGTCCTTAGAATCCAGGCTGACAAGCACAAACATAACTGTTCACTCAGTCAGTATAAGTATCACTCTTTACACAAGGATTATTGGAACACTCGTTGATATCATTAAAGGGAAAGTACGGTCTAGAGAAAGTTTATCTCAATTAGAAGACTTTTTCCTCACGAGTTCTTAAATAACTGCCATTTTGTCTAGTTTGCTTTGTATTAGCGACAAGAGCACTTCGAAGTTGCCCATTTTTACAACTTTCGTGGTTAGAAAAACGCCATCTTGGATATTACGTCATTGTGACGTAGCAATTGTCAAACTTAGTTCGGCACTCTGTTCTTGTTAACTAGTTTGACCTTTTGTGAAAACAATTTCTAATACTCCCAACAATTGAAATGAGGTGAACTGTCCTGTTGTTGAATGTCAATACATACTATATGTAAGCCTCTACAAGCTACCGGAAAGTGAAATATTAAAGAAAAGTTAGCCGGCAAAAATTACCCGCGACGACGGCTTGCCGAACCCTGTAAAACCTCAGAACTTCCAGATCGAAGACTTCAATCCAGCGAGATATACAGGCCTTCGCTTTGAACTGAAAGCTATGCTTACCTTTTCCATATTCAACACAGCTCTCAGCTATCTATTCTACGAGTTTTTTCAAACCATTTTATTGTAAGCGAATAAATTGAAGCTCGCATTGGTGGTACACCGTGTGTGGTAAATTTTCAGTCGCCACCCTTGACCAAAGCCGATTTACAACATCGTTCGATTTTCCAAGCAGTGTACAAATATATCTCGTCTTTCCTAAGTCTGTTATGAGTCCATCGAGTAAATTTTCTTTACCCGAACAGTCACATTCTCCTGCGGAGAAAACACTACATGACATTCAATACATCGCTAGCAAATTATCAAGACAAACACGTTTGTGACTAATACAAATTATCCTTCGTCAGGCAGGCGCCCATATTTCACTATGTCATATCGATTGGACACGATAAAAATAACATGAAAATATTTTTGTCTTCGAACCAACTACTTGACGTAATTATGCAGTGCTTATGCTTTCAAAAGAAATCGACAGTTTCATTTTAGCTTCAATTATATTGAGGTAATTTCTAATGTAAACAATGTACGACAGAGGCGATTCTCCGACGCGCGTCGAAAATAACAAAGCTCTACTTCTCACAAGTCGCGACATTTTAAACATTTTAGAACGAAAAATAGTGCGTTGAAGCTAATTCTACGCAATAAAGTTGAAAAACAACTTTGCAAATTAAAGGTAAATGCTAAAACAAACAAAATTTAATTCGTAACAATTAACTTATGCCTTTTGTCAGCGTTAATTTTGGCAGCTAACTGTTTGTAATCAATTTTGTCAGTGTTTACGCATACGAAGAATGATCTTCAAGTCTATAATTTCTAACTTGTTGCATGCCAACTGGGGCTGATCTTAGTTCCAAATTGCTCGTGTTCCGTTATACACCGAAGCTGGGTTCCTGTAACTGCAAAAATAGTTCGTCTCATTCCGAGGTAGCAGTGTAAAATGAATCCGTAGCGGGCACTGCGGTCTTCTATAACAAAGTATTAACTATCACTCCACAGCTAGGATTGGTTTGAGGAAAAAACCTTTGCCTTTGGAATTGAGTCGGTGTCCTAGTACATTTAATTCTTAGGAGGATACATTCTTGTTTTCCGTAGGTTTCTCTTGATAGTTGCCGCAAGACAACCACTCGCGATTTCCAAGACGTGAGCGACTGAGCGGGTCGACATTTCTTCTTAAAATTCATTTTCTTGACTTTCTCTCTGTCTTTCTCCCCAAAAGAAGTATCTCCTTCCCCTGAAGACGAGCCGTGTTTCGTTTGAAACATAAATGGATGTACTACAGTTGGACCCCGATAATTCGAACTCGGATAATTCGAAGTCCCCGCTAATTCGAAGTAAAATTCATTTCCCTTGGTTTTGCCCCACTTTTCTCAGTCATTTTACCTCGGATAATTCGAACTCGGATAATTCGAAGTCCCCGCTAATTCGAAGTAATTTCTGTTCTCTTAAGTCGGATTTTACCTCGATAATTCGAAGTTAAGTTACCAGCTGAATGAAAAAGAACAGACGCTGTCAGAAATTAGAATATATATCTATTTATTACACGACTCGGGCAGTCAGAGGGCCAATAACTAAAATCAACCAATCAAAATGCCCTATTGCCGGTCAATATTCTCTCAGTATTGGACTGGGCACTGTCCCGAATGGTTCCGAATGATACCGCACTTGTGTCCCTTTGAACTTCAGTCGTATAATAAATCTCTTATTAACCAAGCTTGCTCGGGACCGTGCATAGTATAGGTATGAGCTGGTCTGCATCTTTGGGGCAAATTTATTAACCACAGAATGGTAGCCCGCCAGAAAGCTTGTCTTCTCAACTGCAGAGGCCTTTTCCATGGTTTTTGTCAGGCCTAGTTAAGTTAGAAATGTAGACAATTTTTCATACTCCAACAGCAATATAGAGCTATTGATATTCATCAATTAAAGCTAATATTGCTACATTCAAGCAGTTTTTAAAAGGAAAGGTAAGACTTTCTTCCAGCAGAACAAATTTGCTTGTGTACAAATCTTACGGGGCGGATCATGAGTCGTAGAGAATGAATAAATTGATATCAAAGAAAATAAAAACAAATTTAACTCACGGAAAGTTCAATCGTTACACGTTCTCGAGGTCTAGAAAACATGAGGTGAGAACGAATGGAACGATCACGATCTAACAAAAATCGCCCTTTGGCGACTTCTTGGAGACGTGGCCACCTGAAAAGTGTTTTCCATATTCTAGGAATGGCACCCGGGGCAATCCTTTTTCATGCCTAATCTACGTCAACACTTCTTTCGGGTGGAGGTTTGAGCGATGTAGGCGTACGAATGCCATCCATTAGCTTTCGGAACTGTTTCGTTTGGCCTGTGTAGCGATATTTTTCAACATTCGTTTTAAAGAATAACTGCTCAATTCTGTATAACACAACTCTAAGGTGCCATTTCCGGCCTCAAAACGACGATTAGACTCTCCTAGAACTATTCAATTACAACATACTCTGTCCATTTCTTGGTTGAGAGCCTGTACAAAAGTTTAGGGGATAATATGACGTCACAGACTTACGCGCGGCCATTTCGCAGCTTGAGTAATGGCGGACGTTCAATCGAGGAAAACAAGTCTAAAAATTCAGACTTCCACTTCGAATTTCCCTTCCGAATTTCGTGAGAGTGGTAAGTAGCCAGTAAGGACCTTAAAGTGAAAAATCTGGCAAACGCTAAATTTGGTCTCAGTAGCACTTTCACGCTCTCTCATCAGAGTATTCACCAAACGCTTGAAAGACGGTTTCTGGAATAGTAATTACAAAGGGAGACCAGGCTTACCTCCGATTTTTGCGTCGTACGCCAGACCCACTCCACACCTATTATTATTTGCCACAGCAGCTATGACACCTGCAGAGTTTTCACCATGCCTGTTTAAACAGAAACAATTACATTAATGGAGCCCATTACTGTTTTAACGCTTCGATTTTTAATTCCTGGTGAAAATAATTATGGTTAACTCTGTCTTCTCGTGTCCAGATGTTTATTTCCGGCAGTGAAAAACACTATCTTCACAGCTTGGCATGTTTACAAAGCTTCGTTTTGTTGTTCTCTGGCTACTTGCCGACTTGCTTGTTCCAAAATTTCAATTCTAATTAACAAAAAAAAGGCTGGAGAGAAGTCCGGGAAATAGTCGGACATAGTACAAATTGGCAGATGGCGTGACAGCTTCGGCTCAGCTCCGTGTTTTGTACTCTGATAGAGCACGCTCTTTCAACCAGTGACAGCGCGCGTTAGATCCCAACTTTATTTCAAATGTTGATATGTCCTACAAGTATTGTTCAATACGAGATTTTAACTTCAAAATCGTACAATTTCAGAATTTTTGTCAGGAACGTACGCAATTTTCTGGCCGTGAATTCTAATAAGGAACGATTCAAGCATGCTGAGTCTACTAGGTCTCATACATGCAAGAATTTCGTTCCTTTTAAGTCACTTATCAGCAAATTTACAATTTTTGAATAGAGCTTTGGTCTCGACAAATAGCTTGGTAATTTTTGCCTTGTCTTTTAGTCATAGTTTTTGGGTTGACCGCGATTACCTGGTAGACTCGATACAAAAATAAGTCTCTTCTCCTGCACAAGTTGTGTCCGCTATGTTATAAATTGGTTCATGCTTTTAGCTTTAAGTGCCAAGAGCACCTCTTACGCTTCTCTCGTGCTCTCTAAACTTCCAACGTGCATCCATAACACATGGCTTTTACGGCTAGTGGTTAAAAGTCTGGTCATTTTACGATTAACAGTTTAGGTGGTTTCGCAGGAAAAAAATTATCGAACAATTTTCTTAAATTACCAGAGAAATTCCCAAATAACGTGTGTTCCCAAAAATACAATAAAAAAGATAGGTCACTATGCTTGTTTGAGAGATCGGACAGAAAAAAATTTACCCATTTATGCCTGTGCTGGCGCTAATCAAACGCGTAATTTCATCGGTTCATCGGTTTTTCTACTTGCAAGCGGTACATTTGACGTACAGGCATCGACAAAAAGTTTTTTCGATGTGAAGCGTTTTCGATGCAAAAGATAGTTTCTTTTTAAAACAAAGAATGCATTTTAAGGAATGTCAAAACTTTGATCTAAATTGCTTTACACTCATAGAAAGCCTGCGAACTTCCATGACTTTCCATGATTTTCCTGGTGCCAAAGACAAATTCAGTGACTTTCCAGACCTGGAAAATGAAATCATACAATTCCATGACTTTCCAGGTTTTGTGTAAAAACCCTGACACGTATGATTTTCATATATTCACAATCAGTTACCACTTCAATGGTAAGATATCCTTACAACTGAATGGCTGATATTCCAGATTTTAATGATAAAAGCTTCCATCATGACTGTTCATGCAGAAAACTTTAAAAACAGAATTAAAGTAGTTGAGTAACTATCTAAAAATAACTTATTACCCATATTGAGGTAGTAATTTGTCCCTTGACAGAGGAGAGGTATCATTTTCTAGCAAATCCCAACTTGCATCTTTATCCTACATTGAAAAGGTTAGATCAAAATAAAAAATATTGAGTACCTGCGAATGTAAAAGGAGAGTAACTCTTACATACAAAAAGTGAAACAATAAATGCATCATGTGATGAAGTTTAGCCAATGCACTTTAATCCTGCAACCACGGACTTCTTGCCATGATGGTGGGCTGACTATTACTAATGGTAATAGGACAGTGAGTGGAGTACATTTCAGGGAGCAATAGATGAGTGATTTTAAACTGGCCCAACATTTACGGCACGGCCAGTTTAAAATTACCAAATTGAACACAATTAATCCTGAATTGCATGACACAAGGTCTAATTACCAATTAATTGAGCCAATACCAAAATGCAAGAAATTCAGGACTTAAAAATCTATTGTAAGAGCAAATGCCCTTCTTGTTGATAGTAAACAATATTCACTTGACCACTTTATTTGGTCCATGTTCATTTTCAATCTGAACCTCTAAATTTGCTTCTTTATGAGAAATGTTCATCTTAATTGGCTAGCATTGGTCAGTTGTTGTCTTTTATTGGCCGATGGCTTAAAATGTTTTTCAGCCCTTCAAATAAATATTAAAGTGCACCTAAACCCCAAATTTTTTTTTGCTTAATGAAATAAGCTTACTTGTTTGGAGTATTTCTGTGCAAAATTTTTTAATTTGCTCAAATCTTTAATTTTCTGTTCCCAGTCAAAATACGGAAAATCGGCCGCCATCTTGCCCCACGACCAAGTTTAAAGAGGAATGGCTCTAGCGGGTAATGTGACGTCAAATGGAGAACACGAAAGTCTGCATTTCCCACATTTTCACTCGTTTAGGAGGGTTGTCATCGATATTAGGGACCTTCAGATCCGACTACGACTTCGAGTACGAGAACGAGATCACCAAGGTGCAACTAGCACGCATGCGCGATAGCGTGAGCATGTCACGCAAACTCGTTCTGTCTTCAAAATCTCTCTGCCGTCCTTTTAAGAACTACAAGATTTTCAAGAAAACTCGCTCCCCGAGTACGACTGAGTTCAGGCGGGTTTAAAGGTTAGTCTCTATAGCTGTTTTTACAAGTTTCAAGCGACTCATACATGCACAAAGTCTACATTAAACAGTTACTAACAAATTGTTATGTTTGCACGTTAGAAATTGCTTTTCAAGAACTGTGCTGTACTTTAAGTTCAAAGTCATGTGACGCGAGTCAAGTCAAAGCGATCGTATGACCAGTAGGCT